AATGTTGCAATACCGCCGTACAGGCATATTTTAGAGTAGGTGTGCATAAAAAAGTGAAAATGCGGCTATTATTACGATAGCGAGGCCGTATACTGTGAAAGCAAAAACAGCAGGTATCAAGTGATGAGCGGAATGAGAAGGGAATTAGATAAAATTCTCCAATTCGCATAAAATTTGTGATTTTTATTTTTATGTTACTAAATCATTCTATATATTTATTTGTTGTGTAATCTATCAAAATTTAGTAGAAACTTCGTAATGATTTTTTCCTGGTTCTGTTCCTCGTTTTTTTTAGTAAAATATTAAACAAAAATAAGTATTTAATAAGGAAGTAGTATTAGTATTTATTAATACTACTGAATCATTATTTATTTCAATTCTAATACTTTTTTCTACTAAATATTGCACCCGTTGACAACAAATTCAAAGAAGCAACCTCCGCTTATTATATTTGTAACATTAATAATATTGTTTAATTAGAATAAATGTTTAAAAGCTAAATTATTAAAATACTAATATCTCTAAAAGCTTATGCCTTATTACCTTAGAAACGCGGACGCGGATAACGATGTAGCAACGTAGTGCAATGATCGGCCAAATCCATAGGTATATATTCCTGCACCACATTGTTTTATTCAATATAATGCACGAAAAAATATTTAAAAAAATACAGCTCTATTAAATACTTACTATTCCGTAATAGTATGCCAAAATGAAGTGATGATTAAAAACTTAAAGAAAATGAAATTACAAAAAAATAAAAAACATATTAGCCTGATCATCTTTGATAAAAGAAAAACTTAAGCTAGGAGGTTTTTGGGTATTTTGTGAACTTGCAACCTCAGTTAAATACACCCAAAACTGGATTAAGCTCCAGGCAGAACACACCCAGCTGCAGACCTTCAGTTTTATTTCTTACTAGCTGAGACCCGCGGTGTTACCCGCGTTTGTTGTTATAACCGCGGGCAGCGCCGCGGGGCCAAGCTAGTCAAAAAAAGTAGCCTAAGTTACTCCTTATGTCATCAGCTATATTACAGCTATATCTGCCAGTGAAAGTCCCGTCGAAATCGGTCCAGCCGTTCCAGAGATTACCCGGAACAAACAGACAGGCAAAAATTGTAAAATGTTATTTTGGCATATGTACCGTGTAAACATACATATGCATTTAGTAAAAAGCGGTTATTTTAATATTACAAGCAGACACTCCAATTTTATTTATTTGTATAGAAGAAGATTTGGATTTCCTAGCTTCTACTTACACTTATATTTCAAGGAATTCAAACCGAAACCGAATTCGAAATAAGAACCTTCGACTTACCCCCGACTTACTATGATTGTTGTCATAACGAAAGTAAATCATTGTTATATCAGTAGTATTTATTGTTACGTAATGACGCTATTTAACTATCAAATTTATCTAACAACAGTGAGACAGATTGATGTTTTGTGAATACTGTAGTACTGTTACCGTCGTTATTATGTTGATCATAAAATTTCATTTTAGTTTAGATTTAAATTTATTATTTGAACAATATTATTGTTGAAACTTAATTGGATCGCATGGTGACTAGCCATTTTAGTTACGCCCACGATTGTAATTGTTAATAATACAATTATTTTGAGTGAGAGGTCCAAGGTTGTTTTTGACGTATCATTATCTATATTGTGTAGACAAACCACGACTGGGCAGTTTGGCGAAGTGATATAAGTTGTAGATAGATAAAACAGCTATAGGTCAACGCTCCACAAAGGGCACGTGATCACGATTCTAAAAGCATTGTTCATATGGAAAGAACATACAATTTCGTCTGTTGCCTAATATTGTTTTAACAATTGTTCTAATACTTACAAACTCATTGCTGCTGTTTAGTTAAGATAAACAATAAGCTCAAATAAAAATTTTGATTAAACCAAGTACTCAAACTAATATTCAAGTCCAAGAATATTTTCTTCAATGTAATCTTATTCACATTACATCATTAGCATTGCTAGGTTGCAGATATCATAAATCATTCAATACAATCACCTTCGTCCATGTTCGCCTACTCGCCTCCTAGGAGTTGATTCACTTAACTATCCAGGATAGGTCCATTTACCTCCTACGTAGATACATACATTTACACCGGACACGTTACCTCTGACTTCGCATATCCTACGATGTTGTCCGCTGTGAAAAGCGGGTATAACTAGTTAACCCAAGTGCTCGAGTGATAATAAATTTATTTTACTTGATCTATGGCTTCAATTGCTTAGTAAAATTCAACAATTGTTCAAAACATACTTTATGCATACTTAAAAATTTTGTGTTCAGATATCCTTGGCATTGTTTGAAAATTATTTAGTACTATTATTTTCCACAAACCACTTGACATTTAAATATACTTTGAATTTCCTGTGTTGGTGTCCCAGGATTTACTATCTTTGTTTGTGTTTCCAATTAAGGTTTTTATTTTTAACTTGGGATTTAAACCTGGTTTCGAGAATTAGTAATAAATGTGGGTGTAGTAAATGCATTCACCATAGCTGTAGTATGCAAATATGTTGGCATTACTTGGCGATATTCGATATTTTATCACCCACGCGTTTGTTGTACTTATCGTCTATTAGACATCGAGTTTATTTTGCATTTTACAAACATGGAAATGCAATCAACATTGGCCAGGAAGAAAAAGGTTGAGAATGTCGGAGTCAACGATCTTGAAACAACAATTCCTTTAAATAGAGCATCGTATGTACACAACACTCCGAGAATGTTTCAACACTTCATATTGCAATGTGCAGATAAATCGCCCGAGCATTTCCCACACAACAAGGCATTATTATGGATGTCGTGCTTTTATAGTTAGTCCACAGGGAATAATTGCAGATTTATTACTATTGAAACACCCTGAGGCACGAGTAAAGGATTTGATGATAGATTAATAAGCTAATATGGGCTTTGGGTTCCCGGTTGTTGCTAAATTGGGTCGTTTTCATTGTTTTGTAATTTCAAAGTTTGTGATTTGCTTACGCTCAGCCATGGTTTAGTTGACTATTACGATGGGCGTGTGCCTTTGTACTTTGCCTATGCCATTTATTTGGATGCAAACGTTTTGTATCGGAATGAAAATTACAGAATGATTTCAAAATACATTTAAACACAGTGAAAAGTTATTTTAGCTTTTGCTCTATGCATTTCTAATCTCTTTGTTCCTTTTAATGGTATAGATTGAAACATTTCCAGGGCAAAATTATATTATTTATTGAGTACCTAATGATATAAAGGATACATTACTATAATTTATCCTATTAGGTGATAATATCACTTCTCATTTTAGTATGCTACGAGGCTAAGTATTATATTGCAATCACAATGAGGCTAATTTGATAATTGCCAGTTACAAGTAATTTAGTCGAGCGTTTACAAGATAAGCCTAAGGCATGTATCGGTTGAACGCGTGCAGATCTTGTACAAAATCTTGAAGTGACGACCGTGTGTCGACACTAAATAACTTCACATTTGTTTTTTATCCTTACCACCATTAATATAAAGATTATTTTCGGTGGTTGAGTATGCTGAAAGCTGGCTTTGACGTGGATTAGCTACTTGTGGGAAACGCAAGCTTTGGTTTGGTTTTTACCATGGCTATTGTTCGATAGCGATGCCATCGTCTTACACACAAGGTTGTGTTGCCAAATGGTGTTTTGTGGTGTTAATATATCTATTTCTGTTTTATTCCTTTACTTAGTTATCTGTGCATTTTTTATTTCAAATTAGTAGAATCTTGATGACAATTTAATATCGTGTCTATACAGTTAAACGACAAGGATTTTGTCCTTAAAAAATGAAAAATATAGACGTTGTTCTATATTAGCTAACATAGAAACTATTTGCAATCATGTAAAAGTAAAAAGAATTATAGATAAAAATAAGCACTTTTATAAAATTTTGACTTAAAATCTTAATCTGCATGGTTCATCATGCATTCTAAATCCCACGTAATTCGTGATACAATACAAACGTGACAGAATTGTTCATGATTAAGATAATAGTTAAAAACTCTCGATTTCTTTAAGAAAAGATCATAAGTTGCAAAAGTGTGATAGCTACAGATGTTTCTGCATGACTGATGTAGCAAGAAGCACGTGACTTAGTAGTAAGGAGTTATTGATACCTAAAGAGGTTAACACCTCTTAATCTTTACAGGTAAAATACCTGAATAATAAGCCTATAAATCTAATCTTAAACACCATAATCCATGTTAAGTAAGTCTTAATTTATAAAACGAGCAAGTTTTTATCTGAGATTGTATCGAGTATAGTAATTTATTAAAGTGAGGCATCCAACGATAGTGTAGCAAGGTACCTATTCAGTAGCAATGGCGCATCCGGTCTTGCAAGGACAGTGTTGCAAATACAATAACCCTTTACGCCTATAACGAACTAATGTGAGATACGAGTAATAATAAAAACTCGTTTGTTTCTATTACAATTGATAGTACATAAAAATATAAAGTATTTAATATGGCAGCTAGTGCCTTGGAGATTTATATAAACCTGTAATACAAATCACGAGGCCCCACCAGGCAGTTGTCTACATTGTACCTACAATTAAACTGTCAAGGTAAAACCAGTGACAGTGATTAAAACAAATCTAAATATGCACTTGAAATAAAAGAAAAAACACATGAATGGGTGTTAATTATGTTCATCAAAATAATACTTATTTGGTGTGATTGGTTGTTGATGACTTAAAATTTGTCTTTTCAAATCTTGCAAATTATTTTTTCTACCGCAAAAAAAGTGGTGTGATTTAATTGCTATGTAGTAACTATACTTTTATTTTAAGTGACCATATAAATATGAGGGATTGTTATTACTTGAATAAATATAATAACTTAGCCAGTGTTTGCCAATATAATCACATAGAAATAACATTCTATTATACATCACATCGCTCGGATTACGCGTGTAACAACAACTAACAACTCCAAAATAAAAGTTTAATTCTCTTCTTTCAGAATGCTTCTGCGCACAATCAGACAGACATCGGTCTCGGTCCGGCCCGGTGCGTAGTGTACCGGTGGCGGCCGATGTTAAGAAAGATGTGGACTACGATTGTCCCGAAGAGTTTGGTTATTACCCCCACCCCACCGACTGCACATTGTACTATGTCTGCGTGTTTGGCGGCGCACTACTCGAATCGTGCACTGGTGGCCTTATGTACAGGTAACTATATAAAACTTATGATACATTTATGACAATAAAATGACAACATATATGACGAACAAGAACATAAAACCTTTAAATAAAATGATTGGAAAGATTAAAAAAATTGTTTAAACAATACTAACAAAGACGACTTAATACCTAGCAGCAATCGCGGTTGATTTGCTGTCATTTTTTGAAGAGTTAAGTCGTCTGTCTCCGAAACTCATCATCAGATTCTATATGAAATTTTAATGGGACCATTTCGGAAGAAACCTGTTTTGTACAACAAAATAATTTTGCTAATCCTCCTATATATGACGGAGTTATGCCCGAAAATGCATAAACATACGAATTGATAACCTCCTCCTTTTTGAAGTCGGTTAAATATAATTTATTTATCATGTCAATAATTTTAATAAGTACTATTAACGAAGTATTATTAACAATCAAAGAAATGTCATAAATATATTTATTTTAAAATGTGTGTGCCCAGGTGACGGCAATAGACTTGACGCCTATTACTTAAGTGGGATTAAAGTTTTAGTCAGCAATATGTTGGGATCTAAGAAGCTTTTATCTACCCCTTAGAGGTTGAAGGACGTTCGTTTATGCATGTATTAAGAAGTTTTGTGTGAGATTGTTTTTTGTGTGTGATTAAAAGTGTTTTTTTTTTATAGTCACGAGCTCCAAACATGTGATTGGCCGCGCAACGTAGGCTGTGACGGTACCAGTGCGGGTGGCGAGGAGTTAGAATCAGTCAGAGTAAGCGCACATCGACAAAGAGAACCACCTCGACCCCCGCCACGCCGCACACCGTCGCCTCCACCACCTCCGCCACCCCGTGCTCAGCCCAACCCCATCGTCACCTCCAGAGGACAACCCAGATACAGTCAACAAGAATATGAAAAGGTTTAAATATTATATAAATCTCAAATCAAAATAGCCAAAAAAGCAATAATCTAAAAATTATGATTTTTATATCTATCGAGACCAAAAGTTTTTCAAAGAGCATTTTTTTGGCTTGATTTCAGCAACAACAGCTTTATGAAGAAGTAGATGATTTACCACCGGTTGAAGAACTTGAAAGTGACAGACAACAGCGTGTTTATCGAGGACAACCACCAACAATAGGTCAAGTTCAAAAAGATAGAGATGGCTACTCTGTTCAACAAATCAGCTCAGGCAGAAATCTCAATTCCAACATTATACCCGCTTCTATCCCTCAAAATAATGGTAAAATTGGATCTTTCTCATTTGGCTCGCAAGTCGACGATAGACGCACTGCTACTGTGACACCAGCACCACAATCATACAGGTAAGTTCTACTATGAGTAAAACATATTTACCAACAGTGGACGAAGATAAAGTAACTAATAGACATTGTCGTTATTTGCAGTGATAACAAAAGTGACGTGGTGACTGACTCTCTCCATGACAGACTTTTAGACATTGAGACAAATGAGATCAATAATAATGACGTAATTGAAAAAACTGTTTTTAGAAAAAAACGGGATGTCGTAGGGAAAGATGTAGTTATTAATGAAACTAGTACTGTTAAAACAAATGAAACAATTAATAGGAATGATAGTGGTGAAGAAATAGAATATGTTGAAATTGATCCAGACTTTGAGGAGGGTTTGCCACAAGATGACACTGATAGAGGAAAGAGGCAGATAAGATACTATTTAAAAAATGGATACAAGTCTCCTAGAAAGAATTGGGCACATATAAAGCCTTTTAAAGTGATTCAGTTCCCGCAATCGTTTTTCAACACACATGCACAAAATAATAGATATAATCAACACACGTATAAAAATGTGAACAACAATAATTATTATGATACACGTCGTCCTTACTCTTTGGGCAATAGTAATCAATATTCAAATGCTAATCCATTTGTGTCACATCAACCTGATACCTACCAATCGCAACATTTTTATAACCCTAATCGGCCAGAACCTTCTAGTCAAACGATAACCCATAATCCACTGAACTCTGTAACCCATATTATAACTAAAAGTCCTCCTATTTCGGCTTTAAATAGTAATCCATTCCCAGCTTTAGCTGGCGGTTTTTTCAATAATGTGCCTCAACAAGATATCCAGAATGTGAATCAACGACCTTTATCAGCACAAAAACATCAATTCTCATTTCCTGATTCTTCACAAGTTTCCAGCACAGTAGTAACTGGGAAACCTGTTATATTATATACCTCGCCTAGAACTGAAGATAATCACAATAATAAAGCAATCAGAAATAATTACGGGTCTCAAAATTATTCTGGTCAAAAACATCAACAACCTATAGAAAATGGGCAACTACTACAAAATTATGATCACAAAAGACCATCATCAGATAGGGAGTATGATGATAATTCTAGCGAAGAAGACGAAGACTCATATGAAGAAGAAGAGGAAAATAAAAATTACAAACATGACTTCAAGCCACCCTATGAATTCAGGCATCCTAGCAACAGATTCAAGGACATCGAAAATCCATTTGCTAATCCTAACTTTGATTTTGATGCCTATTTATCTAAGATAAGTAATGGTCAATATTCAACACCGAAACCTAACCACTTGATATCAGTCAACCCTAATCAGGTACATGTGTCAGGATCAACGCCACAATATAACTCATTCAACTCTGGGACACCAAGCTCAACAATAAGTTATACAGGAATGAGCACTCCTAAGCCATTTACCGTGCCATCAGGATCAGTTACTTCAGGTGATGGTAACGTTAATAACAGGAAGCCATTGGAACAACAATATCAAAAACTAATTCAAAGACCTGAACCGACGCGTCAAAGTTATATAGAATCACAATCATTAAACTCAAATGTCTTAGTATCTCCCACCGCAGGATTGCTTGTTGATGCAGTAAGACCTAAACTTAAACCACCAAATTTCAAAGATGATCGTCAACTACCAATCAGTTATAGTTTTAGTAGGCCAGACATAAACACTACACCTGTACCAAATCAAGACAATAAATCTCAAAAAAATTATTATGCGACTCAAAAACCATATATGTTATTGACATCGACAGGTTTGCCGATAATTTTGTCAACACCTAATCATAATTATATTGTGAAACCTGAAAATATCATACCACTAAAACCAAATGGTAGTGTAAAACCGTATTTGTCATCTACAATGAAACCGTATAATCCTTACATAACATTGGAACAATCTACCTCAAAACCTTTGACAACTATTGCAAATGAACAGCTTTCGAATTTACAACAATTTTGGAATAAAAATCCTTCTACTGAGACTGTGCCTCTGCATTCAGTTTTTTTCAAACAGAGCACTCCGGCAAGTATTGCGAAGTTAGAAAATTTATTTGCAGGAATTATAAAATCAACTTCAGAACCTATAAATAGTCAGAGCATCTTTAAAAATGACAGCTACAATATAGTCATGACAACAGCGAAACCACCATCAAATCGTAGACCTATACCAAAGCCATCACCCGAAATGAATGACTATTATTACGATGACGATGAAGAGTTTTACTATGAACCAATTGTGAAGCCAAAATACATGCCAAGTACAGAAGTAAGACCACAGCGTCCGCCAATGGCTCAAAACTATAAAGAATATTATGAAAGTTATGAGGATGATAGTGAAGAATTAAATACAAGACAACAACCATCAAAAGTACCAGTACGGTATATCACGTATAAACCAGAGAGTGCTACTAAAAATTATAACGATGTATCTGTAGGTACAAAAGGTCCATTAAAAAATTTAAATAAGAACGTAAATGGAAACATTCCTATCCCTGTATTAGTAGACTATGGAACTTCCACACCAAACACGCTTATTCGCCCTGAGGTACCCAATTATAAAATTTTACATCATATGCCGAGAAATAAGACTAAGCATATTAGAAAACCTGTCACAGATAATGGTCCCAATACTGACAAGCCCCCTAAGCATTTAAATCAAACAACTCTGCGTCCCTATACCGTTAGACATAGGTTAGCTAAGCCGACTACCGAAAAAACCCCTTCTCATAATGAAGATAAACAGACAAGAGGAAAAATTAGACATCCTAATATTGTAGCAGAAATGAAACATACGACTCCTCGTGACAGCTACAACCAAGAGACTAGATTCACAAAGATCAAACATGACGATAAATCCAACAGGTAATTTGAAGAGTAAAAACTGTAATACTAACTTGTTCGAACTGTATTCGACATGAATACTGCCACTACACTAACTGCCACTTTCTGTACAGAACTTCTTCAACAGTTTGAAATTTTTCACCTTAAAGCGTGACAAAACTAACATGACTGTTGACTCTGACTGTATAAAGGACTGACTAAAATGCTTTGTAAATAGCGAAACATAATGATTGTATATATATGTATATTTACACCTTTTATATCTATAGGTAAAATATTTTTATTTACGGTGATCTACAGAAAAAAATATATTTTTAGTTTGGAACCGACCGAGAGTATTAGCCCCGTATCTTACTCAGCAAGTCCTCGGCCTAAGATGTTATACAATGGAACTCAAAACTACAGTCCTGATCAATATGACCCCTTCTACGCGGTATATGATGAAGACGGTGAATTGTATAAAGATACAGGTAATACACGTTTTAGTGGAGTATATTTTTTGCTGTTAGGAAATACTAAATATTAATTTCTTGTGCTAGTTTCGAAAAATGAATAGCGTAATTTTGTTTTTAATATTAAGTAACCGTAAATTTTAAGGATATTGCATGGCCAATATAATAATACAACAATATATACTACAATACTACAATATATATATATATTTTTTTATTATTATTATTATTATTTTTTTTATTTTTATTTTTTTTATTAATATAATATACTACAATATATTTTTCGGGGATTTATAACATTTGAATTACGAACGATCTAATGTCATATTATTCTCGAATAAATCCTGTAATATTCAATTCATACTAAATAGAAATGTATATCCAATCTACCTAGGTTACTAAACATTTAAAAAAGTATACGTTCCTAGAAGAACTTTGTAGACAGTTTCCTACTAACGTTCAATTATTCACCTTCAGATTAATCTATAGTCGGGATGTCTAACAGTTTAATACTTTATCGATAGGCTACTTTAATATTTATGGACATAGGACATAGGAAATGTTGTGAACGGCAATACATGGTTCATTTTTGTATTTATTATTGATCAACTAAAAATATCTATGTAAAATACAAACATGAACGTTTTCCTTGTGATTGATCAAAAGGTATCTGAGTTTACTGACCTCTAAGGCTAACACATCTGGATATTCTTTTATTTTATACTCAACATAAAGAACTGTCTTTAAATTAAAAAAGGTGGTTTGTATACAAGATAAACTAAACTTTTACATTCTTTGTTGAGCATACTTCTTTTTTCTCACTCACTACCCTAATCGATAACATAACCTACTAACGGGTGTTGGCAGAGTACGTTCAGCAATATAACACGGCTTCGCTTCGCCCAGCTGTGCAACAGACATACCGAGGTACCCCTCCACCCGCAAGAAGGCCCGTCGAGACCTACACACCGAGGCCATCATCACCTGATGATTACGATGAAGAACTTATACAACCCCAGGTAATTAAAAAGTATTTAATTCTTATTATGATGAGTATTTAAATAGTTTTACATCCAATAATCCTTCAAATTCACGCCTCAAATACTATTCCAAATTTTACACTGCACACATTTGTAATAAAATCTGTGAATGAATATTACACTAACTATAAAGTTTTTTTTGAAAATACTGCTTTGTTTTTGAAAAAACTTAGTAGTAATTAATTTTCAGTTTTAACTTGGTGTCATACTAATTTTATAACAATTACATGTTAATAACAGAATGTACGTTATTACAGATAAATAATCAGAACCAGTATCAAACACCAATTCGTCATTCGACTAGGTAAGTTTCCAGTTAATGTAAAATTATTGTAAAGGAATCGATTATGTTTTAATAAATAATACTTAACGTAAAATCAGTAACAATTAACAAACCATAATTGCCTACGATTTAGGGGCGAAGGTAATGAATTGGGTTATGATCCAAATCCGAGCAGCGTGAGGACGACTATGTATGAAGCAACCACTTTAAGCACCACTCCTCCTACTACTACTACTAGCACGAGCACGACTACCCAACGCTCTACTACAGCACCCTACACAGAGGCAATGATTCCGTCTCGTTACACACCAAGGTACTACAAAAGAATGAAAATTAAATGTAAACGCATCCCGGCTTTGATCACTTTCAGAACTCATTAACATTTAAAAATCATCACCTAATAGTATCAATCAAACATCATTTTCCATTCGCAACCTTTCTCTTGTGATCAAACCAAAACTTTTGACTAATAAAGTAAACATTTAGTTTATTGTATCGGTAACAAGGTTGTTTTCTAATTTTAATTTAAAACATTCTATTAAACATGTTTTCTTTTTCTTACATCTTCTATAAGGTCATCTTGATAAATTAATTAAACTTTTGTGGTATCTTTTCCAAAATATTTAAATAATAAAGTATTGTAATTGTTTCACTAACTAAACTAATTTCTATACAGTAACTGCCTGGATAATGTTGTCCGTGTGTGGCCACATTGACCATATATGTATATCGTATTTATATAAGTAGTACTTTTAGAGAGCTTCAATTAGAAAATCTTTTTTGCTTTGTATTCAACAGATCATCCACAAATGAAAATCTATTACCTATATCCTCTCCAAACCTATCTGACGAGACTACTTTGTCAATACCTATTATTACATTACCATCAGTCATACGTTTCTCCTCCCTTGCTAAACCTTTCGAAAAGACTGACAATTCACATAGATTAAGAGAGACTATACCCACGACTGAAAAACTTCCGACTGCTCCCAGACATACTCAAGTGACTAACAATAATAACAACGTGGAAGTGGCAAGGGTCAGGTCAAATACAAATAATAAAAAAAATGTGTCACTAACATCGGGCTTTTCAATCCGCCGAAATCCAAACAATACTGGTAATCCCTATACTTTAACTGTTTTGACACGTCCATTTGATGATTATGAGAAAGCACGTAGGCAAAGCAGCCGTAAAATAAATAGCGGTCAAGTACAATCCGATAGGTATTATTATGATAGTAGTATCAATAGTGAAGATGTTTCCGTTGAGCCGGTAGTTGAATTTGATAGTACATCTGAAACACCATCCAAGAGTTCGTTGCGCAGACAAAATTCTGTTCGTGTTATTAGCAATGAAGATGATGATATTCCCGTAAACGTGAAGCCTACAAGTAGGTCAAGAGCAGTGAAAACTAGAATTAGAACCACTATAGCACCCTCTACTGAATCAAGAAGATACTACACACATTCAGATCAAACGGGTTTTACTCGTCCAACACCATTTTCTTCAAACAATCACGACATTATTGATTCAACAGAGAATGTGATTAATACAGAAAAATTAATAGATGATGGTTTCGAAAACGTTGAGGCTGACGATTTATCGAATTTCAATGAAAATAATACACTAAACGATCAATTACCAACCAATACACGTGGTAGATCTCAAAACGTATGGAGCGAACCAGCCATCTCACCCTATAAAACATTAGATAATTTACGAAACACGTACAGAACTGATACCAGCCATGATTATACGACTACCACTACATCTACGACTACACCAATATCCACAACAAAGCTTTTTAGACATCGTAATCCAACTAAACAGAAACATTTGCGTCCTAAACCTTCATATTACAGTTATCATTTAGAAGATGAGGTTACCGGTGATCAGACTACGGAAATATTTAACGACAGAGTAAAAAATGTTATTACAAGTTTTTTAAATAATTTTGTTAGATCTCCCGTATCAAAATTTATTGAGGAATTTCCAACGACGACCACTTTAAAACCTGTTTTACCACAACAGAATAATGAGGGAAAAAATTTCAATATAGGTTACCAGAAAAAGGCATTAAAGCACATTGATGAAAAAGATTTGCGCTCTAAAGTAAATTTGGTTCAAGTAGTCACAGAGTCACCTGAAAATAAATATGTAAATCCAAATGTAGAGTCAGTTAGTTTTACTGAAGACGAAAGTAAAGTAAAGGATTTTACATCCACTTCTAGGGCAATGTCTACCATGGGCACAACTCCTTTCGCGTACTCAGAGTTACCAACAACTCCTGCTACAATATTAAGTTCCACCAGTGAGATCAGAAGTATGCCAAATAGGAATTCGTATCAGTCTAAGTTCAGTAGTTTTATTCCAAGTAAACCAAAAACCGATGATACACGCAAATACCAAAAAATATTCGATGAACAATCATCTACTGAAAGTTTTAATCCTGTTCATAACTATAACGATGAAAAAGCTCATTCAGTTGAACCTATTAAAGGGGACATAAAAATCACGACTGAGGCGGAAAACTTCCGACTTAGCGACATTGAGAGTGCTATAGCTTCTACGACTAGTACTACCAGAGCTACGACGACTGCGAAGTCTGAACCGACGACATCGACTACTAAAAGTTTATCCTTCCCAACGCGAGCTTCACGCGTCAATCCCGCCATAAAGTTAGCTGCGACAAACCCTGGAGGTGGGCGCAGGAGTTACCAATCGTCGACCAAATGCTCATCAGATAACAGTCTGCAAGCGAATCCAAAATGCAACGAAATCAAATATCAGAGGTACAAATAGTCAACGGCCAGTAGCCTAAGCTATCTGAAGTTATCTCACATAGACTTATTGACGGTGGAGGATTCGTTATCAAAATATCCTTTTATCTGCCTCGCGGGTAACTAGCATGAAGATCAATATTTTATCCGTCAATCGTTTAATAGCACCTACTCTTTCGCTTAACATACTGTTTTCATTGGGGGACTTCATGTCGGTTGAGTTGAGTTTTTGAATTGTTAACTCCTGACGCGACCTTTCCATTTCCTGCACATTGTTTGTTTTTTTTTTGTAGTTTGTATAATGTTTGTAGTTAAGAAAAATATTTATTTGGGTAGCAAGTTCCTCAATGTATGTTGCTTCTCGTAATCATATTGCACCACATTGCAACTCATCATTAGTATTTAAGTGCACCCGCATTGTCAATGTACTAGAATTATATTTCGTGATCAGTATACTAGTGCATGGTATATAATTCTAATTACATATTTGTCTTACAAATGTAAATATGATCATATAAGAATATCTGATTATACACGAAAAAATCTAATAAGTCAAGTTTTAATGAAAGCCAACTTAAGTATAAATAGCATTACAAAAACAATTTTTTTTTGAACTACCATTTGTTTGCAATCGCTTTGTTTTTAAAATCACGCATACTAACTAATACTTAAATTTTAATCACCATTTTTAATGGACAAAATACACGTTTCAGGCCGACAAGTACACGAGGTCGTGGTTCCGCGCACTACTCCACAGCAAATGGTGATTCACAAGCGCCATCAGCTCCGAATAGAGGAACACCTCCAACGTTAGAATTTAATACTTTTTTTCTCATATTATCATTGAACATGACTTTGAATTTTTATTTTATAATACTCTATGAAGCTTGTATAAAGCTATTATCATAAATACATTTCATGCCATCTCATTCATACACAGTACTTTTTAAGGACAATACACTAAAAATAATATTTTTGAGCAGTCGCAGCCGCCCGACATTGAAGCCATCCACGGCCATCGTGTCTAAAACTGCCGAAATCCCGGATATTTACCTACATCCGCCGAGCAGGCCTGCTCCAGTATATCCACAGCCAACCCCAGACAAGACAGCTGCGAAGTGTAGAAAAGACGTCTGTCAACTACCTGATTGTTATTGTGGTGGAAAGGAAATTCCTGGTATGTTTTGCCTAGCCAGTTCGTATTTATGTGTAAGCTATGATTGAAAAATAAATGAAAATATCGTTTCTGCAAAGGCTCGTAAAGTATTTGTATGTAAAAAAATGAGTGCACCTCGTAGGTAATAGCGTTCGTTCTAAATAATAAGACTTATAAACTTGAACCTTAAAATATCATTATTTAAATAATATAGTCTTGTTATGTGACAACGTATACTTTTTAACTTTTGTTTTTAAATGTTTGTGACTTAGGAGACTTACCCGTCAATGAAGTACCGCAAATAGTACTAATTACCTTCGACGACGCCGTAAACGATTTGAATAAAATGTACTATGAAGAAATTTTTGAACGAGGCAGGAAAAACCCAAACGATTGCCCTATAACTGCCACTTTTTACGTTTCACACGAGTGGACGGATTATAGTCAAATACAGAATCTTTACGCAGATGGTCACGAATTTGCCTCCCATACTATTTCGTAAGTCAATTAGTGCAAGATTTTCTATCTGGAACTTTTGGGATTTTCAAGAAAACCTTTGTTTTGCCTCTTAAATAATATAATGGCCATCTATGTACTTATATTTACAGTAATTATTATTGATACTAACGATGTTATATTTTTTTTTCTTCCTCAACTTTTCCATTGTTCTCTATACCTGGTTCTTTTTTCCTCTGTCCTGGCACTATTTACACAACCACACGCACATCACAACATCCCACCATGCAGGCGATATGCCACTAGATCAGGTACCACAAATCGTTCTACTGACATTCGACGACTCTGTGAATGACTTGAACAAGGGACTATACGCAGACTTGTTCGAAAAAGGACGTGTTAACCCCAACGGTTGTCCAATTAGCGCAACATTTTACGTGTCCCACGAATGGACTGATTACAGCCAAGTACAGAATCTTTACTCCGCGGGACATGAGATGGCTTCACACACAGTTTCGTAAGTTTATATATGTATAAGTCTAATGGTACACCACATTTAAATTGCATAAAACCGATACATACATTTATATATGAAAATATTTATAGTATTGCAAACTGTTTGCTACTAATGGGATTTCTGCATTTCAAACTCTTCTTTCTCTTACAGCTTCTTTTTTCTTATGTAATTTATTGAAGTTATTTTCAGTATTTAAATATTATGATAGTGTTTTGTAATTTTTGTTTGAATCTATAGTTTAATGAAACTAGTAATGTACTTATTAATTTTATAAAATTTCAGGCATAGTTTTGGAGAACAGTTCTCACAAAAGAAATGGTATAGAGAAGTAGGTGGTCAAAGAGAAATTTTATCAGCATACGGTGGAGTTAAACTTGAGGATATAAGAGGCATGAGAGCGCCTTTCCTTTCTGTTGGTGGTAATAAGATGTTCAAAATGTTATACGACGCTAACTTCACGTATGATTCATCTCTCCCCGTTTACGAAAATAGACCACCAAGTTGGCCCTATACTCTTGACTACAAACTTTTCCACGATTGTATGATTCCACCTTGTCCAACAAAATCTTATCCAGGTTTGTGCAAACTTTTTAGTAAGAAACTTTTATCTATCGAAGCAATATGTTATTCTTCTTACACGCTCATGCGATATGTATTTATAATAAAGAAAACGAAACATTCTTTATGTTAATGAATAGATAATTATTATCATAATAGTAAGTAAAATAAAATAAAGTAATTGACGACTATCAAATAGTATTTATGAAAAATATTAGTGTATAGGTAGACAATAAATTGTAATGACCATTTTGTAATGTTATGGCAGACTTTATATTTTAACATAGCAACAGATCAAGTGTTTTCATATTATTAGTTGCAATTTTCGTATAAAAAGATTTTGGTATATTTCAGGCGTATGGGAAGTCCCTATGGTGATGTGGCAAGACTTAAACGGAGGCCGTTGCTCTATGGGTGATGCATGCGCAAATCCCCCTGAACCTGAAAATGTTTACAAGATGATTTTAAAGAACTTTGACAGACATTATACTACCAACAGGTAAGTTGTAGTTTTATTAAGTAGTCAAATAATTTTGATAAATTTCCTCAATAATTAAACCTTTTTACAATTCATTTAAATAGGTTAGGTTTGAACCAGGACAGATAAGGTAAAACAGATGGGGTAGATATTAAACGTTAGGATCATTATGTGTACGTGATAAACGTTAAATACCTTTTAAATTTTTTTGGAGAATGTCTTTTGAGAAACACATTTCTCAACTTTAATAAATTTTCAGCTCTCTTATCATAAAAATCGAAACATGTCGTTAACTCCTAATTCCATGTATACACAAAATATTTATTTTTCTGAACGATATTCGTCATCATCGTAAAGAAACAAATGGAAAAGATGAAAAACAAATCTTTTGGATAAACAAAAAGTATATTATTTTTTTCAGAGCTCCTTTCGGTCTTTTCTATCACGCGGCATGGTTTACGCAACCTCACCACAAAGAAGGCTTCATCATGTTCCTGGACTTCATTAACCAGATGCCAGACGTCTGGATCGTCACCAACTGGCAAGCATTGCAGTGGGTGAGAGACCCTACACCGATCAACAGACTTAATAACTTCCAGCCTTTCCAATGCAACTATCAGGTATGATGTAAAATTATTTACTCTTCCAGTTGTATGAATATTAAAGTAAATAATTAATGTGAATAAAAAAATAAATAAAGTGATGCTAAAACTATAACTTCTTACTGAATCGCCTACTACAGTCGGACAACTAACTTGGGAATAAATTTATGCTGCTGTTTATCAAGCGAATAAAATTCTTCTGTTTACCAATCGGGTGTAAACCGACATATAGCTACTTGATGGTCTTTCATAGCTAAGTTCACTATAAATATGCGCAAATGAGATGCAGCTATACAGTTAGTAACACGTTAGATAAGGATCACAAACTATTAGACAACGTTTGTGTCATTTTTTTCTTGTCAATACTCGTCTGTCAGATAATAAGATACCCTTGTTGACAAATCCCTTACCCAAAAACCTTATTGATAACCTAATCGAAAGGTAACCGGTTCAATTCACGCTCCATTAAAACATTTGTGTACATATACATTTAACTTTTAATTTTGTATGGGTGTTTCTATGTGTAATATGAATGTATTTACAAAAGAATATATAAAATAATATATGTATTTATATTAGTTGTCTAGTACTCCTAACTCTAAGCTTTTAGTTTAGGCCTAGATGGCGTTGTGTGAATGTGGTATAGAATATTATTATTAATATTCGTATTACTTTCGTATCAAATGGAATCAATCAAGAAACTCAAACAAAAGGGACTCCAAGGGCGGCAACGCATTTGTGACTTTTGAGTTGCAGGTGTCCATGGGTAGTTGCTTACCATCAGGTGACCCGTCTGCTCGTTTGCCCCCTTATACCATAAAATAAATAAATAAGAAACGAGCATTAAATTTCGAGAAATTGCATTTGCTATGAACTTATAATGAAATTGGTCATCCTCACACAAAGTTTTGTCATATCTTTCACTAAAAACCCTTTCTATTCCATCAGGACACAACAAATTAAATACTCAATAAGGACACCGTTTATAAACTTTACTATAACAAAAATTAGAAAATGTAAACCAATACACAAAAGTCAAAATCACCATTCTACAGATAAAAGCACTGACTGAGGCGTAAAACGACAGATAAAGTTATTCCTCAGATTTAATCTTTATTGTTCTTACTTAACAGCTATCTGACCATTAAATAAATACAAAATCACGCTAACTTTGAAATAAATGGTATCAGCTGTTTATCTGAGGATTGAAAAACCAGCCTGTGAATAAATAGTCTAACTCCTTTTTGTTTTAGTAATTATTTAGAAATAGTTTAAAGATTGCTTTCAATATTTCAGTACACATTTAATCTCTTACAGAAACAGCTGAAAAATATCCAAATTGCACTAAAAGTAATAAATGTTTTTTTTTCTAGGACCGACCGAAGAAATGCAACCATCCCAAAGTATGTAACTTATGGCATAAATCAGGAGTCCGATACATGAGGACGTGCCAACCTTGTCCCGAGGTGTATCCATGGACCGGCAAATCTGGCATCAGATCTTCACGCATAGACAATGACATCGGAGAATAAGCACCATAGTTACTATAGCAGAATAATACAACCATCCTCGAATCTACAATAAATTAGATACAACAGCGGTATCAGAATCAACAAAGGATAGTAGACTTCGCTTGTATAAATAATTCACTGTAGAAACTGTTTTGCCACCAACCGAAGAGTGCCATGTAGATTTCGATGGTCACAAAGCAACATAATTTGACAATTTCATAGAGACTCGAGGACTCGTTTAAATTTATTACGTCCCAATTGTATTGGAAACTGTGATATTAAGTGTTTTCAAACATGTTGTGCGAAGAATACGTCGATTTCATTAGATTTACTGCATGATTTGATTGTAACAATACTCGTGCAATGTTTTTGCAATACTAAGATTTCCTATTTTGAGTTCTATTTAGTTCATAATGCTGTTTAATATTAATTGAGATATTAAATTTAGACATATTTTAGTAATGTCATAACGTGATAACCCAGTTACATACTTCAATATTTATGTTATTCTGGTAACAAATGTATTTAAAATGATTACCATTGCCAGAATAATTTTAAAGAAAGCCATATTAAAATTTAGAAAAGATGTTTTTCTAATCTTGCCAGCTTTGTGGTTGACACTGCCTTTTTTATTGTGTAAATATAGGAATAGTATTAGATGATAATTTATTTTTGTAAGGTATAAGTATTTTGTGCGTTCTTAGGCAATTTTAAATATTTTTTTGTAGAAGTATCTTAAATTTTCCAATTCAAATAGCACTTCTTTCATCATGCTTTGATGCCTGTAAAATAACATTGTGTAGACGTCTACCACATCGCAATTGACAAATTTGTGATGTTGCACATGTCTATACAACCGTTTAGCAGTAACAGAACGTATAAGAGTACTTGATTAATATTTATAAGACATTTATAATATAATATAATCTCTTCCTACTCTCTCTTCTGTAACTCTAAAAACTTACTATTTTTTACTCTGAGTATGGACGTAAATTGTATACTGTTCTAGTTTTGAAGCTTTGGTCTCCTATTGCGACTAAAGTTTGTACACGCTTCCAACCTTTCTTATTTAAAAATTATTCATATTTAATAGGCTCTACTGTAAATATAGGTATACTATTTAAAATCGATAGTTTCACTTTTTTATTACTTTCGCCTAGGATAAATATCTCAGACATGACACAGCACTGAGAACTAAATGTTTAGAAAATTTCGTATTGTAAATTGGCATAAATATTTATAATGTACAAGAACTGTAAAGGTTTTATGACCAGTGCTGATAAATAAAATTTGCTATAAACATTACTTTGTTTCATTTTATTTTAATGGTTTTGACATCTTCTACTGGCTCATTCTATACTATATAAGTTTTTATGATGAGAAACAATAAGGTTTGTATATGATGATATTAATGTCTCAAAGTTTCAGTTCTTTGTCCGTTTAGACATTATTTGGAATTCCTACTTCAAAAAGACAAAATTATCCCTAAATTAAGCCGAGCTTTAAAGTGTTTTAAGAGTGATTTTGAGGAAAGATTGACTTTTACTAGTCATAAGCATAAGCGCTTTTTGAAAAACAATGCACAATGGCTCATGTCCATCATTGGATTGCCTAACTGGCCTGCTAATCCTACCCAAAAACCAGGACTACCATTAAAAATATTTAAAGAGTCAAGTGAGCGCAGGTCCCTGTCCAGGCCAAATCTAGTCCCTGCGTTGGCATATGCACATGGAATGAGTCAACCTACTTAATGCAATAGTTATGCATCAAAAATAATTAAAGAAATTACTTGTACGCCAACTCGAGCTACAAAAGTTCGCATAGTAATAAGTTCAGCAAAAAAACATACACCTGAAGAGGCATTGGCAATATTTGTAGAAGCGAACTTGACTAGAAGTCAGTGGGAAGTACAGCATAGTTCGAACAAGGTTATATATCCATGCTACTTACTCATAAAGAAAGCTAAAAAAGAATGTAATTTGTGCAAGTGACCGAAACCTGGTCAGAAGTTCAAGCACTTTAAGCACTACCACAACGAAACGCGATTATCTAAATATTTAATGGAAGTATAGGCAAAGCTCAGGAAAAGAAATTCAAAACATGGTGTTACCTTCAAAATAGGGTTGTGACGGCTCACACAGATACAGTATAAACAAAAATTTGAAAGCTTTACAAGTTCTGATGCAAATATATTGCAGAGTTCACTCGTTCCTTTGCGATTGCGATGATTAAAGCGACGATAGTGAAGAAGCTGAAGAAATTGACGACGACAAAGAGGATTAAAAATGTTAATGTAATGTTAATGTTTAATAATAATATTCTAAATATTTTTCAAACAAACATTTTATGCCATCTATCTATATCCCATATACCTACCTAACTACTAGTAGTTAGGTAGGTATGTTGAAAATACGTTAATAATGCAATACGCAATCGGGATTCATAGATACGGGCATTCCTTTTAAAATAGAAAACAAAATCCTTTGCACTCTCAGAAACAGCATCAATCAATCTAGCCTATGTATCTATATTTACCTGGTTTATACATATACTATAAACTTATAATATTTACACATACACATATTTTTTTATTTGTTATTAACTTAATTATCACAAATCATTTAGTGTTTAATTTATGATTAATTATTTTATACCTAATAAATTTATAAAAAAAAATTGAACTATATTAACTTGATATTTTATACAATAAATTATAATGACTCGTACTCGTACTTGTATACTAAAGTATTTTGAAAAGTAGTAACAGATTCTGATATTCATTAATAGTGAAAAAATCATACTGTGTAGTAAAAAGTCAGGGCCGCGATCGTGACCACAAATGATCCGCAGAGAACATCAAAAATTAAATTTTCAATCATAAACACCTGCTTTATGATATTTTCGTTATTTCATCCACGGTCAAACAGAACCTATAAAAAAGCTTACAAGTCTACGAGTGTATCATAAAGCTATACGTAACATGAAAGGGTGGTACTTGTATTCTTTTATCTTTACATATTATTATTATGGCAGTTTCTGCCAAGAGGTTGAGTACTATCCATCACAATCTGTCATGGACACATATCACAAGGCTACTGCGAAAAGAAATATTAAAGATGATTGCTCTAAAATATTTCATGAAGATTGTATAAAAAATGAAATAAAATCTGGTATGAGAAAGTTTAATCAAGCAATGAATGAAGATAATTTTGTAGAAGTTAGGAAGAGAGCAGTAGATACCGTTTTTCACGGATACCCAAAAACAAGAGAAGAATTATGGAATGAACACTTTTTGGATGAGACTACAGTCTTTGACCAAACGCCATCGCTTGTAAATTTGTTACATAATATAACTCGGACTTATTTAAAAGATTGTACACCCGTTATTCTTTATGACAATCAAGTCAAATCGAAGGAAAGTTACTTAGTTCAAAATTTACTAAAAGGGTTTCCAATGACATTTGTTCATGGTTACATTACTGATGAAGGTAAGGTGTTGGAGCCTGAGCTTTTACAAGCTGGATCAGAATGTCTACATTACATTATTTTCCTGACTGATGTTAAGAAAAGCTCTAAAGTTTTGGGAAAACAACCAGAAAGTAAAGTAATAGTAGTTGCAAGGTCTTCTCAATGGGCCGTTCAGGAATTTTTAGCACAGCCTATTTCAAGAATGTTTGTAAATTTGCTTGTCATTGGCCAAAGTTTTAAAGAAGGAGATGACGCTGCTTTGGTAAGTTTAATACGAAAAGTGGATGTTGATTAAGCCTAATACTTATGACGACAATGCAGCCTATATAATTATATTCTACTTTCTGTCTAGGAGGTCCCTTACATATTGTATACTCATAAATTGTACACGGATGGGCTTGGCGCCAGTAAACCTGTAGTATTAAACTCATGGAGTCATGGAAAGTTTTCAAGAAACATTAACTTATTTCCTCGCAAGATGACAGAGGGTTACGCTGGGCATCGATTTGTAGTCGCTGCTGCTAATCAGCCGCCATTTGTTTTTAAAAGGTACCCATAAATACAGAATACAAAAAAAGTTGTGGTCACATTTTGGAAGCGCTATGTATTGTCGACAAACAATTGACATACACATCTTAATTAAAAATAAGAAAAAGTTTTACCTAATATTGCACAAGATGGTCCGACAACGGTAGATGCAGGCAACATAGAACCAGTTGTTATAAATTTGTGAATCTTAGGGGAGACCTATGTCCAGAGATGAGGATGATTTTTGAAGTATTTGATAATATATTTTTTCTCATGTCAATTTCCATGCTTTTTTTCGCAGAAGTTTTTAGAAAAATCTGAACAATCCGTTAACATCTTTGGAATTAAATGTTCTAGGTATCCAGAGCCAAAGAAATTTCAGCTTTCACTTATATGAAACAATAGACCAAATTTTAAATTAAATTGGTCTATCTCACAGTAAGATATCTGAATAAAAATAAAAATCACGAATCCTATTTTAACTGTTAGTGTTCTACGTTAGTAATGCTTATGGGGCTGCTAAATGACGTACACTTTACACGAAATACAATTTTCTGTAATACATATATGTATATACTAATACTGAATATGTACGAGTATTAAGTTCGTTGTTAAGAGCCGTTTACGTGATGTTTGATAATAATATAACTTACTTATGTAGGATTAAATCAGACTCAGATGGAGGAAACCCTCGAATTGTCTGGGATGGTATTGAAATTCGACTTATTAAACTATTGGCTGAAAGGAATAACTTCTCCATAGAAATCGTTGAACCTCAGGAATTAAGTCTCGGGTAATAAAAACTTCGTATGTTTTAGATACAATATTTTTTTTATACATAACTGATGAAATATTATTATTAGTCCAGGTGATGCGGTGGCTAAAGAGATTACCACAGGACGAGCAGACATTGGGATAGCAGGAATGTACATGACGATTGAAAGAGCTCGAGATATGGATATGTCATTTTCACATTCTCAAGATTGCGCTACTTTTATTACACTCATGTCTACAGCCTTGCCTCGGTAGCTATTTAGGATATTTGAAAAAAGTATTTCGTTTAGAGAATAGTTTTCTAAAATCCAATTTTTTTCTCAGGTACCGAGCAATTTTAGGACCATTTCACTGGCATGTATGGGTTGCTTTAACATTTACTTACCTTTTTGGTATGTTACCTCTTGCTTTCTCTGATAAACATACTTTAAGACATCTTATTAATAACAGCGGAGAAATAGAAAATATGTTCTGGTATGTTTTTGGTACTTTTACCAATTGTTTTACATTTCTTGGGAAAAATTCTTGGAGCAAAACTACTAAAATAACAACTCGATTATTAATTGGTAAGTGTGAAGAATCAAATGCTCTTGAATTTCTAATTTTACTTTTGTGATGGCTTTTCTTTATATTTGTTTTCAGGTTGGTACTGGATTTTTACAATTATTATTACAAGTTGTTACACCGGCTCTATTATAGCATTTGTAACATTACCAGTGTTCCCAGAAACTGTGGATACTATACATCAGTTGTTAGCCGGATTTTACAGAATAGGCACTTTAGGTAAAAAAAAGACTATTGTAAGTAGATGTGTTAGATCGTTTAAAATTTGTATCCGGGAATACCGATGCGGATACTTAAGTTTTTTCTCAGTTAATGTATATTATGTATAGAGATATGCGAGTATTTTTATTTAGGAATATATATTATGTGCTATAAATTTAGGGATATATATATTATAGGATCGATTGTTCGAGTGTTGTGTGGAATGTGGAGGACAGCGTCATCTAGCATCAAGTGAAGTACAACTATTGAGATTGTGATTAATAATTTCGACACTTGCAGCGCTAGATGGCGCTGCAAGTAACGGGTAACTAGACTGGTAACAGAATATTCCATCGGATCATCGGGATTAGTTTAGTAATTTCGATAGCACTATGAAAGCTCAGCGTATTGGCCGTACGGGACAGTATCGTTTACGAGACAGCGAATTAACATCAAAGCGAATTGTTTGTGCGACTAACGAGTTTTATAGTGTTTTCTTGTTGTTTTGTAGTGTTTGTCAATACAGTGAAATAAAAGTAATTAACCGACAACTTTTATTTATTGTATACCCCGCTCGTAACAATACAAATAAGCTTGCTCGATAATTACGACTCTGTCTACCGTTTCGAGATAAAAGACGTAAATGTACTGACTTCATAATCGTAGATAAAAAAAGACTAGGAGACCGACAACACTAACACTCGAAACGCTACCTTAGAGAAAGCAAAGAAATTACCTGAAAAAACGTGCTTTCATATTGCATTTACGTGCCGTTAAGTTGTTTGATACGATGTGGGTACTCCAAGTCTCTAATATGATAGTCGATAATATTCTCACATTCTTCTTTGAAAAATTATGAGCTCTCGAAGGCTGTTCGAGAGAGATTTCATTGTCTCCCGCATCGTCCGAGCACGTCCCGAGCATGCTTGTTGGGATTTTGATCGGGGATGCTACTCCATACAATTAAATAAATTCGACCAGGATTTAATATTATTGTACTTATTTTAACGTAGTTTGTGGTGTGTAGTGTAGATAAGCGATAACATGTTTTTGCACAGATCGTGGAGGTTGGGAGAGATGGTTTTTAAACTCATCAGATCCTTACACTAACAAATTATTGAAAAAACTTGAATTGGTGCCCAATGTTGAAGCTGGAATTAGAAACACTACCAAAGCTTTCTTTTGGCCACACGCTTTTCTGGGATCCAAAGCTGAATTTGAATATATTGCTCAAGCTAACTTTTCGGAACCTAAGTAAGTCGAGTTTTTTACATGTTTAATATCGTTTCCTCAAATTAAAGCTTCGTTTCAAAAAAGTTTTCTTATATAGGAGACAAGTGTGCAGACGGGTTACCTGATGTTTGGTGACTACCACCGCCCATGATAAGTCAAGTATATTATTTTATTTTTAAAATGAAACTATAGTACGGATTAAGAATACAAATTGTCACCACCCCAATTCATCCCGTGGGTGTCGTAAGAGACGACTAAGGGAGCAAACTAAGCAGGACAACAGCACTGCAAAGAGAAGGAAAACTTGAAACCAACCCTATACCAACCCGACTGGCCAGCGTGGTATAGTAGGCCAAAACCTCCTTTCTAAGGAGAGGCCCATGTCCAGCAGTGGACTAGTATAGGCTGTTGATGATTGATGATAATACGGGTGTTACTTAATTCTAAACTCCCCAAACTTTTACGTTAGATAGCGATATATAAGTGTCATAAACAGTATTTGTTTATTAACGCATAAATATCTTCTCTTCAATAGAAAGGAAGATCTAAGTATTATTTAATTATGTGTAACCCTTAAACCGTCAGGATATCTATTTCGTTTTATAGAAAATAGGGACTTCCGTTAATATGTACTCTAAATAGCGTTATAGACTTTTATATTTATTTACTGAAAATGTTAATTAAGTAGGTTAATGATATTTAAACGTGCAGCAAAATAAAACTTTTTGTTGAAACTAATAACATGTATTAAATTTTTAGAATTGCATAGTAGTTGGTCAGTTATCATTCCCAAAAAATATTTGGAAAATTTGTATACTTCTAGATCTAAACGAGCAGCATTGCATATAGCCAATGAATGTTTCGCTCTATTTGGAGTGACAATAGTATTTCCTAACAACTCGGTGTACTCTGCAAAACTAAGTGGTGATATTAGAAGAATATTTCAAAGCGGGCTTGTCAATAAAATAAGCGATGAAGTGCGTTTTGAAATACAAAGGAGCCCTACGGGAAAGCTACTTGCGGTTAGTGTTTGTATGTACTGTAAACTTTATATCTTCCTCCGAGCCTTTTTTTCAAACTAAGTTGATGTCGACTTGAAGTCTATTACGATATGGCTGAATTTCGATTTTTACGCGGCCCCGACTACCCTTAACCATAGCTACAGATGTAAGAAATGGTCACCCATCCATAGACAACCATAGGATTGCTTAACCTTGCAATGTGTTTACCACTAAGTCACGAGCTCCTGTACTGTAACTGTTACTGATCCTGACTGTTGGGTTTAATTACTACCTACAAGTGAAATTAAACGATTCAGTTTGAGGTGTCTGAATTTATTATTGTAATAAAACAATGATAATAATAATATAATTAGCATAAAGTATTTTTTTTTTTTCGAAACGCAATGGCTCGAATGAGTTGTTGTATAATCATAGCATTTTGATTATTGTTACACTTAAAATTTTATGCTTTCAGATTATAAATAAATTGACTCATTAACTATAGTTAGTAATTTTGACAAATTTTATTATACATTTGAGTAGATTTCAATCGATAAGTGGTTAATGACTGAAACTTAATATATTGCTCTAAATAATAATAAATACGCATATAAGAAATTGTTTTCATTATTTCCATGCAGGTTGGCGCTGAAACATTAAATATAGTATCAGCAGAAGAAAAGGGACTATCACTTGAAGACACCCAAGGCATGTTCTTACTTTTAGCAGCTGGTTTCCTTATAGCTGCAACGGCTTTACTATCCGAGTGGATGGGAGGATTCACCAGGAAATGTCGATTTCCTAAAAAAGTTGATACGCCCAGCAGTGCTGCGTCAAGAGATCAGTTGATATCTACTCCTAAAAGTGAGGATGGAAATGAAATAAAGATTATAGACGATACCGATGGACTACCTCTTGGTTCGAGACCTTCAACAGTTGATTCTACAGATACATTAGAAGGTCAAGTTATACATGTGACTAGAGAAACTATTGACGTACATAAAGATTTTGAGTCAAATAGATTCGATTCTAGAAGATCAAGTTCTGAAGACGTGGAAAGAGAAGTAAGGGAAATATTTGAAAGAGATCAAAATAGACTAAAGATTAGAATTGACAATCTTGAGATGGAGAAATCGGTAGTCGAGTGCAAGAGAAAAGGAACAGCTTCTAACGGTGCTTTTGGTGATCCAGTAAACAATAATTATTAAAATCACAGTTCTTTAGGAACAATGCGAGCTATATACGAGCTATATAAATAAACTAGATTTTCCCCGCAGGTCCGCAGGCGTGTATGTCAGTAAAAGTAGCCTATGATTGTATTTATTTCAATAAGGATTAATTTTATGTTAATAAAAACACCTTCGCAAATAAAAAGGACGTGTGGAGAATTCCTGGGGTTTCCTGATATATATGCAACTATAGTTTTAAAGCAGGCTCCTAACACTAAACTGTTAAAAGAAAAACTTATAGTCGAAATAATTACTAAATGAAAATAAATTGAAATGAAAATTGAATCTTTTGTAGGCATTTTACCTAAGCGACGCCCACATACAGCGATGTAGATTTAAACCTTAAGTTTTAGATGTACTTAATTTTCTATAGCGTAACGTGTAAATATTCTATACTAAGTAGTAGTGTATGTAATTGTGGTATATGAAGTATAAAAATAAAAACGACAAAATTGACATCCAACTCTTTATTATCCTTCGAACAGTCATCAAAATAATTTATAACAATTTTCTAACACTGTCGATAAACATTAATATTTCATTCAGCCACTGAGATGTTTTCATTCGTCATACAATTATAATACACAGGGCAGAAATTGCTGCCTCGACACAGTTACAGCGCCGCAAGGCCTAGTATAATGCAATATTTGGCCCGGCCTAATCTTAAAAAATAATTATACAATTATGACTTATATTCCCGAGCCGCTCCTCCGGAATACCGTCGGCGACTTCACATCATTATCAGTAAAAATATCGATAAAATACAACAGATTTTGTATTCTTTGTAAAATTCAAACGAAAATATACCTAATACCTACCTAAGCATTTTGTAATAATATGTATTGCACAACGGGTGTTACGAGAGAAGTTAATGTGAAATTAATTTGAGTATTCAATAAGGATATGTATTTATATTCCTATATTCTATTTGGATTGTTCACTATATACTGTGGTGCAATAGCAAAAAAGACTAAATGGGAGAAACAAAACACGTCGACGTCGGCTGTGAAGAAATGTAGAAGAATTTCTATTACTGTACTTAACACTACATAGCTTTTTAAATGCAATGAACTAGATTATAAATAAATTCAACAAGCCCTTTGCTATTGTCACACAGCAAGATAAAATACAGGTAAACACATATTACCAAAGTACATATAAAAAACAAACAAACTTCTTTCTACAACAACACACAACGCGGTTGTGCGCCAAAATGAACAACTATATTTATATATTTATTATTTAATAATTAAACTTGAACTCATTCCCGATAGCAAAGCTCACAACCTCGGAAATTATGCTCCCAATACCAGCTTAACTGTCGTAATATTTATACAATATATGTTTGCAAGCGATAAAACACAAACGTCTGATATTTTATCACTACACGCAAATACAAAGGAAACTTTACTTAATGTAAACATTTCATCCGATAACAATATGTTTGTGCAAAATTACGTTAATTATTTGGCTATAGGTTTTGACCAATGCGCCTCCGTGATAGGTATATAGGTAACAGCAATTGTGTACTCGATACTGTACAATGCAACACTTAACATTTATTACATTATACCATCATTCCATAACTGACAAGTAGAAATTAGTGTAACAAGAAACAAGGGTTTCGCATCATCGCCGAACATATTGAGCAAATTTTAATACAAAACACATCGACGCTTTCAGAGAAAGGAATTATTATTAGGAACGAACGACCGAAAACAGATTAACGCAATGTAGAATCACAATAAAGGACCCGCAAATTTTAATTACGCGAAAGACACGCACTCACAAACAATTAAAGCGTTACAATTATGATGAAAGTCCAATACTAAGCACGGCGAGCCTAACGCACCAACAACGAAAGCGGGTCCAGGGTTTAACAGTGTAGGTAATTATATCACATCAACAATGTATATCTAACATTCAAGGTGTACTTACATGATCTCTATAATAACTCCCTAAAATGGGTTAACATTTATTATGCTCCGGTAATAAAATATTAATTCGTTAAAAACTAACCGTGTACTTATTTTACAATGCGAAAATACATTTTTTTTTATTCTTATGCGTTCAGACTTTTGAACTCCACATCTGGTTCATTCCCTGTACAAATTTAACAAATGTACATTTAACATTTTGTTATTGTGATTTGAAGGTTTATTCTAACGATTTTATACTGAAAATTTGTTCGTTATTCTTAACATTATAAAAAGTTACAATCACACTCAGACAGTTTGACTGGCAAATGTGTACAGAGATAAAACATTGCTGCGACCATAGTATGTAAAGGCTCGCACAGACATTAGACAATAAGAGAAATTCTTTACAAAATTGAGACTTTTCTTTATGGTATTTTATACAGTCATTACAATGTGCCAATAGTCAGTTCGAGACCTTATTTATAAAAGCACTACACCAGATGACGAAGCAAAAGGATGCGGGATCAAAGTTAGATGAATAATATGACATGGATACATTTAGCTACAGGTAAAATCCCACATTCTTTTGTTGTTTTAATTATAAATATATATATATATATATATACATAACTAATGCGGTCTCAAAAATTCAACATCTTTAAGTGACTTAGAGTTACCAGGATGTGAATATTAAAGCAAAATGTTATATACAAAATTTGGTACAAAATGGTACATTTAGGCACTGTGAGTAAGGCATCTACAGTGAGAAGATATGAGAGGAAGAAGGGGGTCTAGGGTTTGAAACTACAAAGAACCTTTTCCTATAAGTCCAAATACAGTATGAGACGACATAGACACATTCAAAGAAAGCAGGACGATAAATAAAACATTATGAACTATGGACGACACAAATGTACAGTTTTAGACAATATCCTCTAAAAATAGGGCGGATCGTGATATAGTGCATACTTTAGTGTAAATACTTTAGTGTAAAATATATTTTGTATGTGCTCTTAAAGCTGACTTGTAGGTATATTGTTCATGGTTACAATATCTACTAAGTAGTAAATAAAACATACTTCAGATCACATTAACAAAACAAAAAGTACTATTAACAAGGTTGCTCCATACATTTTTGTTACCGATTATAGCCACTAAGTAAACCTACACATACTTAACAAGTAATTACATATGATATTCAAAATTGACTCGATAATATTTTGGTCTCCAACGAGATACGACCATACAAACATACACATTAAATAAAGTTTTTAGTACACCGATATAATGATCGAAGCATAGTGTCAGAATCGAAAGGGCATTTTCTGAGAATTTTTCTTCCGAACATTGTACTAGTTGATGTGTTGACTATAGCACAAAGCAAAATTCAGAGAAAAAAATAACCGTTTTAAGTTCTGTTTGGCTGAAACTTAATATCTATGTGAAGAAATGTCAGAGTTCTACAATGTATGATATAAACGGTGTTTACTTACAAAACTGCTTAGAGTGCAAGTGTTATCATAAGAAATTTTAAAGCTTCGTGTGGTATCATTATATACTCATCTCTAGCTAAACATTACCTACTTACTTACATAACATTCGTTCCTAACGGGACGTGTATACATATTATGTAAATATCATTATGATTCTCATGTATAAATATGTCAATAGATAAAGTAGATTTTACAATACATAATTTATTATCTTCTGTGATGACACTACGACTACTATCATACAGATTCAAGTTCGGATGTCACACTATTATAATAATTTTTAAAATGGCACAAAAAAACTTTTTAAAACACTAACACAAAAAGTCAACAGTCATTTTGTTTACAAGTCTTACTCGCACTTACACACAATATCGCATTGTGTTGTGTCCATCGCGCACTTCGCACTTCACCAACAACTCCGTCCGACCGCTTCGTAGCATTGCACTCAACTTCGACTATTAGTGCAGATTTAATTTTACACTTTACTAATCTTTAAATTGACTAACTTTAAGCTAAACAGACAATGGCACGGATTGCACATATAATGTCGTTATTTACAAGGGAATCAGGTATCTATCTACATGTACTTAAAGTTCAAAGTTGATCTGATAGGTTGCCGCTATTCTGTATTGTACTTAACTTTAACATTTAATCTTAATCTTTAGTACTCAAGTGTGCATACAATAATTAATTACGTATTCATAGAAGGGTTGTGTAATGTTGAACATTGAATATAGACCTCATGTCAGGTTTACTAAAGTATAACGTACAGAGCAACGACGCTGAAGAATTTCAAAGTAGGAGAACGTTGAATGACCGTGCCATGAAAAAGCACCGTATATTTTGATGCACCTTTTCTTATCAGACTTATGGTGATAAGATTAGCACTGTGGCGCTATCGAGGGTAGAAGTTGTCATCGGGGACGGTGACGAAGCTCGATAGGTCTCACGTGGATGGCCTGGCCTCTCGTTTAGCAGTGCGGGTGCAGGGGCCTCGGGTACGAGCCGAAGGCCTCGCAGCCTAGCTATGCGGACCAGCCGTCGAGCCGCGGTCGCTTAGTGTGCGGCTGGTCGTAGTCCAGCGCCACGTTGGAGTGCCTCATGTCCTGGCCGGCCGGCGAGCCCATGTTACTCGATGACACTGAACCTGCAAAATTGGAGTATACTATGATTTTAATGTTATTGGATTGTTAATTTCTGGCTACTTAGTATTGATAACTCTTAATCTAAGTTTAATTAAGGTTAGTTTACGTTATTTTAACATATTTTTAAATTCACTTTGTAAATATAATAAATAGTTTAGTGACAGAGTCACAGGTGATACCTAGTATATTTACTTGTTTGGTATTCTTTTCTAAAAAAAGTATGAAACTGCTCTGAGTGTTAAAACCGCGAGTTGAACTGTTTTTTTTTTCATATTTTGTAAACTTTAGCGACACAAGTACCGCTTTCTTATACGGGAAATCGTTAATCACAACCAGCTATTAAAGCTCGAACCAAATGCCAAATAATCTAATATTTCAAATTACATTTTGGTTCATAAATTGCGGTCTAGGTTATTATATAATAAGTTTGCCTCCAACAACACAATAATTAGATGCAGAATTTTATGTTGGTACAACAATACAACATACTTTATAAAAATATGTTATCACTACTGTTTTTTAACACCAAGTCTTAAAATATAAATAAACTTTACATAATTTAGGTTTCATAAAATCCTATCGTTTCTGTAATTAAAATGAAAATATGGTCCCAAATCTATATCATTTATCAAAAAAGAGGAGTTCGTTGAAACGCGTGTCAAAATAGCGGGTGAAATCATTAAAGTGGAACCTATATTTTATGTCTATTTAACACAAATAACGAATTAAAGTTTTTTCGGACTATTTTTATTAAGTCATAATTATTTTAATTATTCACTAGACACATGTGATTCTTTTTATTATTATGTTGCTAATTTCATTCTAGAAATATTTTAAACTGTAATTCTAATTAGATACGCTAGTTGCTTTAAATATAATTCTTTTTTGTACGAGATATCATAAATCTTAAAATAATGTCTTAATCTTTTTAAATATTTTAATTGGCCAAAATATTTGCATACAATTATTTTGTAGGTGTTTCTGTTCGAATAAGGGCTATCGTCGTCTGACTATGGGCTCATTTCTGAACTTTGTTGTATAAGGCATTACGATAAGAATTTTATAGCTCATAAATAACAAATGAATTGACCCAGAAGAAACCTTGACATACATTAATATCAAATTTCCGTATTCCATCTATAAAATATAAATGTCCGAACGATAAGGTCATAATTATACTTGCAAATTACTATTAACTAGAATTACCACTAATTTGCAATAAACATTTATTGTAGTTATATTATTTTCACGTTATATACGACTAAAAGAAATTTGTTTGATTTCGATTAAAAAGCAGAATGTGATCACCATCTTCAAAGATCGTCATCAAATCATCATTAAATTAATTTAAAGAGACGGAATTATTGTATGCAGTCATAACACTTAATATAGAAATAACAAATACAATGTAAAGGAGATCGCACACTCCTGATTTTAATGGGCCGCTTAGTAATTGAAGTCGTAAGGTAGGTAGTCGTAGTCGACTAAGGTAATAAACTACGTAGGACAACAGCAATGCAAAGAGAAGAAAAACTTGAAACAAACCCTATGTCCAGCAGTGGACTAGTAAATGCTGATGATGATAGCTTTAATTGCTCAGTCAGTATTTGTATCTTTGTATATCGAAACTCAGTTGACCCAGGAGCTTCCACCAATAATCAAGATTACATTCGAAAGGTATAAAGCTTACTAGATACTGACCATCTATGGCTCCTGAGAGATGCGCTGGTTGTGGTTGAGGGGGAGGCGCACGGTGCGGCATATGTTCAGGGCGCGGCGGCGAGACAGGTTCTGCTTTGATCTTCACGTTGCTAGGCGACGCCGCCGGGGGAGGTGTGCCACCCCCGCCCAGTACTGGCAGGCTGCTACTGTTGACAGAAATTGTCCTTCAGTTTTGTGGAAGTATAAAATGCACTTATTAATGTTCTTGTATGCTGATGTAAGATTTTTGTTTTGGGCATGGTATAGATGGGGAACAACAGTGTTCGTTTTTAACTTACTTTAATCTAAAAAAAAACCTTTGAATTTTCCTTACTTGTGTATAAACTATGATTTTAAACTTTACATAGAATACACAGAACTTGAATTAGAAGAGCAGGTACTTCCTAGACCTAAAACATATTTTTACACGAATCAAACGGCAGGCAAAAGCTTTAAATTAATTTATACTATAAATATGATTTATTCTACAGCAGGGATTCCCAAAGTGGTCAACATCGACCTCTTGGGGTCAAAATTGGTTTCCCAGGGGTCGACATGAACGTAAATTTGGTGATTGAAAAAATCGACCCCTAATAATTAAGACAAGTTCTTATTTGAAACTTTCAAGATACTGTATTAGTTGTGTTACGTGTACTAACTAATTTGTTATAAGAATCACTAATATTTTAGTAGAAAGTATCGTTGTTGTGCTTTTAAAAAACTGAACAAGTCGATAAGTAAGGTTGACTAATAGAAAATTCGTACGGCATTAAGTACACATTTGTCACGTTAATATTATGTGTATAAAGTAAAATATATAAATATATTAATAAGTGTGCAGTAATTTGGCTATGGGGTCTGAGATATCAGTTCATTTTAGAAAAGGGGTCTCTTATCCTAAATAGTTTCGGAATCCCTGCTCTATAGTGTACTAATTCCTAGTCTTACTAGTTATTACTTTAGACATGGAATTCCTACACATAGTTTAAATGTGTATCATTTTAGAATTGAATGTTAAATTCATGAAGCAAATTATAAACATGCAAAACTAAGTAGTTTGCAACTTAATAAGCTTTATTTATGGTATAATTATCCGCAAAATATGGGCTCACTCGTGCGAAACAGCTTAAAACACTAATATGTGCTATCCCCTTTATCGTCTTAATTTTGTAACAGCGAAGGGAGCAGGGTAGGTCATTAAAATGGATATAAATGGGAATTGAGAAATTACTCGATAGTGAATTACTATCTCCGATAGAGAGGATCATTAGTAGTGAAGACTTTACATTGTTTGCTTGATTGATGAGATGTTTTTTGTTCTATGGGGTACTCACAATATAATAAATGTATACTACTTTTGATGTAAATTCACATTAATCGATATGATAATAGATAATAAGTGTGGAAAAGAAATTCATCAGAAAGAAAAGTTTCGCTTAAGGAAGAGGATATGGTTGGAAAACGAAATATAATTTAGTCAGAAGTAGTAGTAATTTAGTTAGAATAGTCATCGATTTTAGGGTGGAAACACTGAACTCTTGGTTATATGTGTATTTAAAAACTCTAGAGAAGGTCATTAACAACGAATTTCGTACACGAAACGATACGTAACGCAACCTATAGGAGATATCAAAAGTACGGTGTAAAGTTGGCGTAAGATAAAAAACATAAATATAGTCACTGTTGATTTCGGCTGTACTCATAAGTATTATATTTATTATTTTCTATTATTCTATTTGATTATCTCGTTTCTATTAGATATGACTTGTTATCAATTTCACTCAGTTGCTATGTTTATAAGGCATCCGTATAAAAGGTGTCTTTAATATAATAAATTACAAAATAAGAGCTAAAAACGACATCTTACAATATCAATAATATACACATTGGACCCTACGTTTTGGTTGGTTAGGACCCTACGTTGTGGCCGTAGTAACCCAGGTTCGAATCCTGTTCACGGCAGTGGCATCACCGTCGCGGAGGACTATTTTTTTTATTAATTTAATAATTCATTTTCATGATTACTGTACATCACACTATACCAGAATAGTTACCTACATAATTGAAAAAAATCGGTTCTCTAATATGAGGTTAGATGATATTGAGATAGTCACGGATATAGTTCTAGTAATCTGGATATAGTTCAGAAGAAGAAGTGAAGTCAATAACATGGTAATGGGGTTTAAAACTAAGGGGTACAAATATTCTTGTTGAATTATAAGGATAAAATCGTAATTCAAGTATTAAGTACTTTGAAGGCTTTTTTTCTGTTTTAGACTTATAAAAAGGTTTTCGAAATGTGTGGAGAATTTGTCATCCGAGTTTTTTAATAATTTAGAAACAAATGTATAAAATCTTTGTTTTTTCTTAAAAATATATTTTAGGACGCCATCTGTTAGGATCTACGAGAACTTTTTGGTTGCTTAAATTCGATTTAAATAACAAGGGCAGTAAAGTTGAACGGTAACGAATACTTTGACATGATACTTTCACAACTGGTTAGAGTTAAGTCAACAGTTGCTTTACTGTTACGATCACTTGAACTGGCAGTCGTATTCGTCTGGTTGTTAGAATGATACGGTCAGTGGCATAGGTTCGAATCCAGGTTGGAATAATGGATATAGATTATGTTTGAGGAAAGTTTTTATACAATATGTATATAAATGACATTTTACTGACATCTAAATCTTTGAATATAGAATAGATAAAAAAGAATCATAAGTTTCTTTCTCTCTTTTTAAATTAAATATATTTTTACTTTATGTATAAAGCTTTTTTATTTGAATCCAATTTAAACGTTTTCAAGCGGAATGTTTATTAGGTAATTTGACACACTAGGCCTCCGGGATGAAATTTTATTTCATTTTATGACTATTAAATAAGAACGTATCTCAGCAGTATTTAGATTCGTTTCATGGCATATTAAACAAAAAAAATCTTAGTAGTTCAAAATTGCTTTTGGAGTTGTGCAAGCTATGCACTGTAGATGCACAGTAGAGTAAACGCCCATTTTCTATTCAAATTTAAAAGCATCGGACTGTAAAAGAACCTTCACCCAAGAGTAACGATGATAGCTCTGCGTGACATTGTTTGTTTATTTGATTACAACCTTATTAGTACACAAAACCGTCGTTCGTATTACCCAATAATTATAGATAAGTATGTATATAGGGGTCTAAGAGAAAGCAGACGTTCTCAAAGTTCATAATAATTAATGTAGTTCAATATGAACTCGCCTTGTACAGCAAACGTCTTCTAATACCTATTGTTTTCTGAAATTGAGTTTTTAAAACCAATTCGATACGGTAATCTGTGTGCAGAGTACACGTGGCTTAGCACGATAGGCGATTCTTATAAAATACAAAGGAACTGAAGTCAACGACCATGTTTATGTTTCCAATTGCTTTATAACTACTTCATACTTAAAGCGGGAAGCCATATTAGAGTAATAGTTACGTCTTCTTCTTGGTTCCCGTTTTACCCTTTGAAAATGGAGTAGGGTCCCGTTTTACCCTTTACCAAAAGGGTAAAACGGGACCCTATTACTAAGACTCCGCTGCACGTCCGTCTGTCTGTCTGTCTGCCCGTCTGTCACCAGGCTGTATCTCATGAACCGTGATAGTTAGACAGTTGAAATTTTCACAGATGATGTATTTTTGTTGCCGCTATAACAACAAATACTACAAACAGAATAAATTAAACATTTAAGGGGGGCTCCCATACAACAAACGTGATTTTGTTGCTCATTTTTGCTCGATATTTATAACGGGTACAGGTGGACGCTTGAAAAATTCACAGAATATTTAGTTATATATTCACTTTAAAAATAAATAATTAAATTAAAATATAAAAAATATTTAACGGGGGCTTCCAAAAAGCAAACGGCGTTTTTTTGCCGTTTTTATAGATGAAGAATGGTACGGAACCCTTCGTGCGCGAGTCCGAGTCGCACTTGGCCGGTTTTTTTATAGTTTATGTTACTCATGTTTTTTTGGTTAGTTTTTATGACTAGGTGGGGGCATTTGTTTCTTTTTATAACAAAACGCTGTACAACACCTATGAACATCGAAGACATTTAAAATTAAATTTGAAAGAACAATTTATTTCATTAAAGTAAAAATATGCGAGTGTTAGTCGTTTAGAATTAAAATCTCTTACAAAACATGTCTGACCTCAATTTATACTAACGTAGGAAACAAGAAAGAAAACGCTTAATTCGCACATAAAATTGTTTTGTCAAAACCAAAATTAAAAATAGAATTAATTGTTCTTTCGTTCCGCGATTTAAACACTCTTGAGCAAGCTACCGTGAATTGTGATGTAACACTTTTTAAAGATAATGTTATTTTCGACAAGACTGTCACCGGTTCCGATAGCCGTGATCGTCTAGTGGTTAGGACCCTACGTTGTGGCCGTAGTAACCCAGGTTCGAATCCTGGTCACGGCAGTGATGTCACTGTCTCGGCGGAACCATTATTTTTGGGTTTATCACATATTGTAAACTGCATTTTTGTAAGTCTCTAATTAATGTAAACTACTTTCTTATTAGCTACCTACCACAGGCAACCACGTGCAGCCCCAGAAAAACAACTGAGCTAATATATTGTAATTAATAGAGTAGATATGAGTAAAAATATAAATTTTAATCTATGGTTAACAATACGTACTAGTAGAATAGATCAACCAAATTTTTAATTTTCTCATCTGCTAAACATGTATGAATTTCGAAAAGTACTTACTTTGTTAAAAATTACTATTTTGAGTTAAAGTTCTAATTTTAAGCATGTAATGACAAATCTTACATTGAATGATCTTCGAATTCAATCAAAATTTGCAACTTAAAATCTAAGTTTCAAATTCCAGTTTTTTTTTTGTAAAACAGAAAATGAGTATTATAAGGTTGATCACATCTTCTAACTAAGCTACATAAAAAGATAATATGAGAATGATCACAGACATGTACCTGTTGTGCTGGAGCGTCTGCAGTTGATGCGCACCCCACGTCAGTCCGATGCTCATGTCTGAGTTAATGCTGAAGTCTTGTGGTCCGAAATTGCCGAGTCCAGAATAGCTTAGCGGTGTCTGGAAATTATAGAATACAAAAGTTTAGCCTTAGAGAACACACTACTACACGATACTTAGGAAGACACTATTAAAACGTTGATTGACTAATATGTATCTTTAATCTTAAAGGTGATGAAACGTTGCATATTTTAAAGTCACCCACAGTTCACTCTTGAATAAAATATTTTAATGAATTTTGGATTTTTGACAAAAAATCTTCAGAAATAAAACAAAATTATTTGTATCAAAGAATACTCGCAGTAAGAAGTCGAAGAAAAACAAATCCCTTACTATGTTCGTAGGAACTGAATTAAATATTATATATTATTTTGTACAACTTACTTCTCCAGTATAAGAAATATCATCCTGTGGCGGCGGCATAGAGCTTGGTATGACGACGCGCAGGTTATTATGTCGAGGCGAATGATGCGGTGGCGCAACATGTGCATGCGCCTTGTGGGCATGGCGATGCGGCGACGGCGCAGGTCCCGGTGACGGAGACGGTGTGCAGCCAGCATCCAGTGGAGATCCCGAACCGGGATAACCGTTTGACATCTCCAGCATTCCACCGCTTGGGTACACTGGAAATAAACAATACTGAATCATCATCAACATTACAAAGATTTACTTCTTGAAGGGTTTGATCCGGCTCTAAAGCAAACGTTTGTTTGCAAATAGTAATGTTCAAATGATGGTAGACCTTATTATTCAGTCATTTCTACTACTGGCCTTGAATGTTTAAAACTTAGATTGAGTGTTAATATTAAATACAAAAGGTCATTAGGTCCTTGTAAACTCTCAGAAAGTAAAAAACAAAATTTATGATCACATAATTATTAGCCAACGATTGCAATAATACATTTGTAATTTGTTTCAAATGTTTCTTTTTGCGTGTATATACATTTAATGTCAAGAATTATAAACAGTGAAACTGAATTAGTACCTGAATCGGTTTCCGAAGATGAGGGCCGTGGACTGATAGAGGTATGCATCTGTGGACTAGCTTGCAACAGTGACTGATCATAGTTTCCGACAGGGACGCTAACAGGCAGGTTGTAGTTGCCTCCAGTAACGCCTACGCTCACGCGACTTCCGTTTAATTGGTTCCTTTGCATCATCATTTGAAATTCTTCATCAATTTTGGAGTATTTGGCTTCGGTCCTTGGAGTAAGATTGTATTCAGGCTCTGCTTCGGGGCTGTCAGGTGACATCACTCCGTTCTTATGCTCTTTCTTCGTTAGTGCCTGTAAGTGTCAGCGAGAACAGCTCAGGGGGCTTGACGAGCCAAACTTATAAATACTCTACTGTATTAATCTTGCATGCATTAAACGCCAGTTAAATTATTAGATTACACCCTCTGTACACACCATTAGCGTTATCAGCGACAATCGCGTTAAACTTAATATCAACTGTTTGATTTGTTTAGATTTTATCACGTCAGTATGTAGTGGAGGGTTCAAAATTAAAACTGTGCTTACAACAATAGTACAGTGTAACTAAGTAATAGTACGTGAACTTTTTAGCGTACATATGTGTGGTGTCGAACGCAATGATGCAACTCTGACTTTACCCTTGTATCAAAACATCGGAGTCAGGTAGGCGCGGTTAATTCAAATAAACACAAATATATTTACAAAACCCATGCTGGTACAGGAAAAAATAACATAAATATTTGGGGTGTCTAGTCATAAACTGTTAGTATAAAACTGGGTGGCTGGTGTTTTGTACTTCATCTTTTTTTCTAACAGGAAATAAACATGCTTCTTTATTGGTTGTGTTTGTCTATTTTATGTGTGTATCCGTGTGATATCGTTTACACAAGGTCTTTTTGAACGAGATCTACATTTAAAATCTAGAGGTGTCCAACAAAGTTGATTCGTTCTCTAGGACTGTTTTAGTAACAAATATATGCATTAGGTATTGTGTGTAAGTACAAAGCACGCGGTTAATGGGATAAGTCAATTTTGCATGGACATTGCATTGCGATCACTGGCACACAGATGACGCCGTACTTAATGTACCTCGATGATGTTGCGGTTGGTCAGCGACTCGTGGGGCTCGTTGTATTCCGTGTATTTTAAGAGAACCTGCAATAGAAAATGAGAAAAAAATATATAATAATAGAATAATAATAATAGAAGCAAGCCTATTACTGTCAATTGTATACAAATGGATTTTGGGGAAGACCGTAAAAGGCGGTGCCATAACTACAGGTATGCACCCCTGACTTGTCTGACGCCATTAGTGCTACAACCAGATAAATACATACATTTATGATTTTGTTTAATTAAATGCGGGATAATGAATAAACAATTAAATTAAAACGAATCAGACATTAAGTAACAAATTTATTTCTGATTTATGTATAAAAGACCTATTTCTTAGCGTTCTATGGATTCACCGTGCGGGTGCCGGATCCATCGCGTAATGGATGGGGACAACACATGCGACTTCGACAGCGCCTGGGAATTTTGTTTTTAAAACAATGAAAACTCAAAAATTGTAATTATCGTAAGATTGATCGTATTCTCGATTATATTATTTTAAAAAATTATGTCTCTGGTTAATCATCCACAGATACAAATTTATAAGCATTTAGGGAATTTAAATAACTAATTATTGCATTATTGTGCTTTTAGTAGTAAACTACTACAGTAAAATAATTTATTAAGTGGGAAATAAATATTTCACAATAAAAATATATAGGAATTTTCTCAGACTATTATTAACTATAAATACAAATAAAAGAGCCAAGTCTGATAGTAATATGTTTAAGAATCAAAGATACTAATTAAAATGAAATGATTGTATTTATATACGAATAATTTATAACACCGGATGATGAGTAAGTGAATGATATGTGCAAAAGTAGATAATAATGTATGAAATTAAAAGGGAGTAAGGACGTAATACGAAAAATGAAAATTCACACATTTGATATTGCACTTTACAAAACAAGAGAATTTTTCATCTATATATCATATTTGCAGAATACAGATTGTGTTCTTTGACTTAATATGACTGTGAATATCAATAAGAAATATTAGTAGAACATTTAACAGAACTGCGTGATTCTCATACGTGGTTTATTCAGCGAGTGTCGGCTTTGAAATAAACTATAAAAAATATGCAAATGGCCAGGTCGAGTTGTTATTGCAGGGTTCCATTAAAATATAAAGCTTTGTATTATGAGCGAAACGTGCTAAGCGTCTAACGATAAAAACCGGAGACAAGTTGAAGTAGAGGTAGTAGTAATATATGTTTGAAAGAAACTATAATTTTCTTAGCTAATAACTTGAAAACATGAAAAATAACTTAAAAAAGCTTAAAATGGTGAACAAATAGACCATAAAAAAAAAGAATATGTAAGTATATTTAATTAGTCAAATTTAACGGTATAAGAATGAGAAAAAAGCGAGCAAAGTACACGTTTGTATGTTTTTTTTTGTTATGTTAGAGGGGGCAGATGTGTTCATATAATTGGTGTGAAAACATTCTCAACATTAACAACTGAACCAATGACAGATACAAAAAATACGAGTAGTGGTATGTTGAGTACATACCACTACTCGTATTATGTGTATCTACTCCAATAATAAAGTTTAGCTTAAACTAACCCTAGAATCGTGGACAATTAAAAAAATATCATACAAACCTTGTCCATATCCGTGCTGGCATATTGATAGAGTTTGTTGTTGGAACTGAAGATGATAAGAGCGATCTCACAGTCACAAAGTACGCTGAGTTCATACGCTTTCTTCATCACACCAAATTTGCGCTTGTTGAAAGTCACCTGAAGAGAAAAATATGAAATTTAAAATAAGTACAATGAAAGCAGTTTTAATGGTATGATGTTTGAAAACTTTTCTAAATATTTAACTGTCTAGCAATCAGGAACAGTACTTTTTTGGTAGACGAAAAGGTTTAACTATACTATAATATTTTTGCCGTAACCCCGTGTATTGTTGGTTCAGTAGGAAAGGCATGAAAGAGCAACACACAAACAAATAAAAAAAAACTTTCGTTACGTTACTTTGAATTACAAACTGTTAAATTACATTTACTTTAATTTGCTTATTCTGAAGGTTGAATTTTTCAGTTAAAGTATTTCAAAATTAAAATTTTAATTAAATTATTTAAAATTGTTATCGATGAAACAAATTAAAATAAGTCTAGTGAGTCACGAACTGATCCGAATAATGGGTTACTTGAAGTCATCAACATTATGAGTCATCCAATATAGGGCTAAAGCTTAATATTAATGCACTATTGTGTGTTCATTGGTGTTTAATTAGTCTTTTTCCCTAATAACTGAAGAATCGGTAGTCGCTCTACTTAGATTAGTTAGTACTAAAAAATGTTTAGTTAATAAACAAAGGGTGGTACTATAAAATATTTGAATACCACATGACTCAATAAAGAACAAAGAACGCTGGAAATGCCGAAAGCAAATTGACCTTCGCAATTTTAATTTCACATGTCTGCCTCTGCTGCGAATAGACCAGTTGGAAAGAGCCCTCTTGTAATTAGAAAGGAACTTCAAAGGGGAGGAGACGAAGAGTACTTTGTAGGGTCATTATAAAATGGACAAGGTTGATATACAGTGTAATCGTATAATTAATAAATTACAAGCGGGAGCGGTCGTTGGCCCGTTGCGATAATGTTTTGCAGTGGGAGTGTTGATAGTCCGCATCTGTTAGGTCATGCCTGATGGTGAGGTCGTTTCACTCTTAGCAGCCTCCAATATTATGTATGTATATTGTGTTTTAGAAGCTGTTATTACTTCTTTCGTATGGATTACATTTAATACAATATTATAGGCCTATAATCCCCTGATTCACATACAAGCCGAAGGAAACACATTTTAATTAATAATTATACCTATTCCTTGAATTTAATGTTTTCTTTATAATAATGACTAATTCGCTCACAATTAATGTCGCGTACTGGGAATTGTATTAAAAACATTGTCAGACTAACCTGCCGATTCCGTTCGTCCGTAATCCGGGATATTTGTATTTTCTTCCGACCCATGGTGGCAGCAATCTTGAAAGGGGATGCGGGGAACGAGGGTAAATAAAAAAAAATGCCTTTGGGCTGGCTGCTACTACGGACGTCAACAGCTGCTTCCTGTTAACAAATAACAATTAATATTAAAATAAGTCCATAATCAGAGGCAAGGCAAAGAGCTTCTCTAAAACGCATTCCTTAAATTAGAAGTTTGTCAACTAACGTCTTTATTATTATAACCGTAAAGACTATCCGCACACTCACAAATTGGTTAAGGTCAAAAGCTCTCGTCATCAAATACCATGGACCAATGGTTGTGACTATGACCATAGCCGAAGCAAGGCCGGTGACAGATGCAGTGACGTAACTTAAACTCGTACTGCATTGTCATGTCATACTAAACCAGTTTTAATGATAAAATTTATTGGATTTTGATAGTTTATCCTTGAGTGGGCTCTGAAATTTTTAAATTTAATAAATGAAAGTTTATAGTTAATATAACATACTAAACTCATTCTTTACTGCTAGCATGCGTTTGGATCCACTCTATTTCTCCACTTATCACTTTAATTAACTAATAACAGAATACAGAGTAAAGATGCTGCAGTCAGTTGTTTTTTAACCTAACCAGATACGGCAACCATGCAGACAATTGAAAAAAGCAATAAAGCTTTTTCAAGGTCAAAGTCAGACACCGAACATCGCACATGCTATATGCGACGTACATGTCTAACAGTTAAATGATAATGTTGACAACGATTACATCACCGTTTCGTAAGCACCGCCGCACAGTAGATCTTTATTTGTCAAAATTGTTAAAGTAATGGTGTTATTGTCACCTAGAAGGTTCTTGATTACACAGTTTTCTAAGACTTAAATGTTATGCCGAGTTTAGGGAATTTAATTGCATCGATGATATTTTTTGGCAATGGTTTCCTTTGCATAACACGGAAAATTGGAAATTGATTTCGAAACTGCTCATTTTTAACTTTCCTTTTAAAATTAGTGATCTGTTTCCACGTAATTGATAGAGTTGGAATACATTATGGGGAAATTTTGGTTTCGATTTATTGATCTATTGGCCCAAAGTTACGGGCAAGCCTAACTACATTCAAAGGGACAACTTCATTCAAACGGAATTTTCAAAAACAATTTTTGTATAAACAACTAAAATACTAAAAACTATTAACTAAGAACTTTAATTACATAGATTTGTCGATGTGATAGACGTTTCTTTTATGTGAAAACATATGTTGTGAAAACATATGTGTAAAATTATGATTGAAATTACATGTAGGTACATTCAAGAATATTATTTTCAGATTAGACATAGTTAAATTATGATGATTGAAACTGATTTAGACTGACTTAGTTGACTGATAAGAGAGAGCTTTTCGTCGAAGAAAAGAAATTTGGAATTTAAGCAACGCGAAGTAGAACACACTACGTTTACACTTCATATAAAAAATGCAAAAGTGCATCTACCACACACAGAATATTGTGTATCGACGCGCGAGAAAGTAGACTTTAAACAGAGATTATAACAGACACAGTGTTTGTAACAGGAAAACGTTGATTACCAATGTTAACAGCGTTAGGCAAAAACGGGGTCATGTGGGCTGATAGGGGTCATTATGTAAATCTGTGTGACCTGGCGTCTTATGAGCGCTTATGGTAGTTTTAATGCTTGCGTTTTATTTTGTTAAGCGTGGTAAGCTTCAACATTTGCATACCTTTTTATGCAGTAGTACCTAAGTTTTTATTACTGCAACAAGTAATTCCTCTTTTTTTTTACATCATAGTACTGGTTTATAACTTGGTAAGAGTAAAGTTAAATGTTTACCACACAGTTAAATAACCATAAAAATATAAGAAAAAGTATTTCAGTTGTAGCAATATGGCAATAATATGAATATGTAACGGAATAGGGTTATCAGTGAAAATAGTTGCAACACCAGTGTAACTTGTGCTTTTTGCAACCCTATCTCCCTAAAGTTCTCTGACAACCCTGCCACGATCAGAAAAAGAGAACAAGTTTGAATTAAATATTATAAAAATGTAAATGCAACAATAAAAAATAAATTAGTACGGTACAAACGATTACTATCTTAAAGGCAAACAAATCAACTTAAGTGGTGATACATAATGAAACATAATGATGGAAATTTGTATTATATGTTATGGGTCATTCATCATATCGATTCCAGTATTCATAGAAACTCATAAAGTTTTGTCTGCTTTGTTATAAATATTGCCACATGACTAGTTAATGGCAATGCATATGTTAAAGCTAATTACAATAAATCTTCATAAACCGGCAAGAAGATAGATATTGTAAAGTGTAACATTGAATTCAGCATCAGAACGATTTTAATAATTATCTTACTTCCAATAGCTATGAATACTACTAACTTTGATTGGATATCATTACTGTTAGACTTTTAGAACGTCGGATAAATAAAAAATTGTTTAAATAGACGTAGCAAAGGCTCAAATTTCAACCTTCTATAATAATTTAATTATGCTCATTTTCCATTTTGTACGTTTGAAGGTCAAAGGTTTAACAAAAGTACGGCTGGCAAATTCTAAATGACAACGAACGAAATTGTCTCCTGTGTATGATAAGCATTGATTTCATGTTATCATTCGTTAAGCTTATCATTTGGTAGCAAATAATAACAATTATAATTTATCTGGAAACCTCTTTAATTGATTAAAGCTTTGCTCAGTTAAATTATAAGCTTACCCAGACTGCTGATAAACAAACTATATATTTTATTTCTAATTACATACATATATTATGGATAAACTACACCCGGTCATAGAACAAATTATCATGCTTATCACACAATAGTTATCAATGGTATGAATCGAATCCACGATCTCCAGCTTAGCAGTCAGGATCGCTAACCGCTAATATAAAAAGGCCGCCAAATTAATAAATAACAAGTAATTTTTGTCTGCCTTTGTTTTCTGTGCGTCATAATTTTATACTACAGATTTAAATACAATTTGACTATTAAAAGCGCTTTAATAAATAGTACTACATTGTTACTTCTGTTTGTTCTATTTAAGTTAACAAAGAAGCGATAAATACTTATTAGGACTTCGTAGTAAACACGCAAGGTTAGGACTTGTAGGTCATTATTCATGTGGTGTATATTTTTTACGATGTTTGAAAACAAACAAAAAAATGGTGTTGTCCTAATTATAATTGCTGGATATTATTGCTATTGATTTTATTTCATATTGCACAAAAAGAAGGGAGCGCCCGGTTCTAAAGGGGTTGACTAGGTACAACGTCGAATAACATAGTACCACATGCGATAGTTAGTTGTGACTAGATGTTCCAACCAAGAACGTCAAAACTGCAGAATGACTTAGATGTTTTTCTCCAGAGACATCTATTTGGGGTAGTCCCCTAAGGTCCCTGATGCTGTTAACTGCGGTGACTCTTTACCATCACAAAATAAAACAATCTTTATCATTCACCTTTGGAAGTAGTACTACTATTTATAGCAGAACATAGAACGGATTAATATAAGGTCTTAAAAATCAATCACTTCTTAAGGTTCCCCACATAAATAATAAAGAAAAATATTTAATAAGCAAGTAACAACATTTGGTGAAAAATAAATATTACTCGATGACTCCCTAACATATTTGTATATGTTTTAAAATATTAAATGTTAGTTGGTACAATGAAAATCTAATTGTCGAGTTTTTCATTCAAATTTTAATTCAAAAAGAAGAAGTTTATTATTAAGCGTACATACCCTAACGTTAGCCCCAGTCCATTTAGTTCTATTTGTGCGTGATGCAAGGCATTGCTTACGTGAATAACTTCTGGGCTTTTTTTATCTGACCTATTTGCATAATACGTGAAGTTAAAAACAATTTGTAAAACATTATAATACTTTAAAAGTAAATATGTTAAAGTTTTTTCACTTTCACCTGCTTCTTTTGATGATTAGACATCTCGGAAGGAACTGTGCTAAATGCTATTAATAAATATTAATTGTTCTGTATTTAAATGTTGTTGATAGCTCAGATGTTAATTTATTTTAAAACACTATTACTATTTAAAATACCTACTGCCTGAGCTCGTATAAACCTAAATTTATTGCACGAAATATTTTGTGGACTAGCAATTAAATAATAAAAGCAGTAAGTTTTTTTTTGGCGTGTTGTGGATAACAGACGCGAGAAAACTGAAATTAATATATCAACGTTACACACGGAAACTTTTTCTGTTGCCAAGGGAAAGAGTTTATTACTCGATATACTACAGATTCCTTTTTTGTGTTCATGAGTTGTTGCATAAACATTCCGCTTGTGTGTGCGTAAAATGTAGTTCACGGTGTCATGTTTTTCCAGTTTCCCCTATTTTCGTGTATGTGTGCATTGGAACCTGTATTTAAGTGTGCTCTTGTACTCTGTACTTAAGCGTGTGTGTGTTCCAGTAGCGATAGTGTGAGTTCGTGTGCATTTCTCTGGCATTGCTCGTGTGTAGGTCGAAGGGTGTTTGGAGGGAGTTGTGGGGGTTGGATCGGGTACAAACGGGTGTCAGGTCACTGTGTTTATAGGTGGCTTATTACGCAGGACTTGCGTCTAATCATGCATTAAAATGATGATCATATGGTCTAATTATTAGTTTCAGATTTGAAGGGTTATGTAAAAAAATTAACACGCCATTATGTTTTAGGAATAACGTAAATGCAGTGCAGTTTTTATATGAAAAATGATTAAGTATTAATAATGTCATCACAAAAAATCTATATCTCTGACTTTGTTGTAAAAGTACATATATTTTACTTGTAACTTTTTATTTTTATTACTTTACTGTACTGTACTATATCGTATATGAAATTTTAATGTGTCTCTTTTAAATGATAACGGTACATGTTATATTTTCGTAAAAAAGCTTTTAGAAGAAATAAATATTCTCTATTACGTTACAGAGCACAGCATTATTTACTTTAATTAAATGAACTGGAAGTGTATGCAAATTAAAGTGAAGCCATAAGCATAAACAACGGTAGTCTTTGCCTTTTTTCTTACGGCTCATTAAGTTTTTTTCTTAAAAGGTTAACATAAGCGTAAAGCCGTGAACTGTGCCTTGTTCAGAGGTGAATAACTGAGAATTTCTTCTACGCCAAGCAAAAAGAAAAGCTTTAAACGTACTTTAATAGATATAGCATAAAGTTCACAAAGTGCATCATTTTTGTTTCAGAATTCTCTGATATTTGAGTTTAGTAATAAAATAGAATTGCATTTATTCCTTATCGCGCGAATGTGTAACAAGACTTTTTGGCGACACTTTGTTGGCTCACATATTTTACATATTTCATATATGTATATGGCAAACGTCTACTAAAAAGCGAA